TCGTAGAGATCACCCCCATCCCCAAAAGGCCCTTCTGGCATATTCTAGCCTCCCTAACCTGCCAACCCAGCAGACGCCACCTCCTCCGGGCAGCCCCTCTGACTGCTTGGCCTGCCCAAGCCCCTGGTGAGGGTGCCCCTGTTCTCCCTGCCCGTGCTGTTCCCCCTGCCCCATAGGCTGGGGCTCTCGGGGCAGGGCCCAGGGTTCCTCGTTCTTGCCCCAGACTAGGAAAGAAGAGAAATTCAAACATGAAGCAAGTAGGGCCAGGAGACCAGGCGGCTGGCTCAAATGAGAGCCCAGAGCCCTCCAGGGTGACATAAAAACCTCCAAGAAACCCCAAGCCCCTCCTAAACCACAGAACCCCTGCTGGCCTGAATCTGGTTCATTCATTGGGCCAACATGGAGCAGGCATCTCTGGTTTTGCCAGGCTCGGCCCTGGGGACAAAGAGAGGTTCAGATGGGTCCTGTCTGTAAGAAGCACCCAGTCCAGGGTGGTTACAGGCCCATAATCACAGCATTCAGGAGGCAACAAATGCGGGGTGCGCTTTACGAATGCAGAGGCGCCAGTGGCCCACCAGCAGCCTTCTCCTGAACACACACTTTGGCCATTGAACCTGAGTGGCCCTCCCCATCGCTCCCTGCTGGATGAACTCCTAGGCATCCCTCAAAACCCAGTTCACACATCACCCATTCTGGGCATCCTGGGAAAGAGAATTCTTCCCACGCACTGTCCTCTGCTAGCCCTGCCCCAAGCACTCCTGAGGGCAGGCCGGGAGCGACCCCACACCCCCGGACTCCCAGGCCAGGAGGACCCGAGGGCCTCTGCAGTGGATCCCAGCATGGGTCTTCCCACAGCTGCGGACCTTGTCCGGCAACGCACCTCACCGGCCTCCTGAGGCATGGGGCTGGGGCCCAGAGAAGGCTGCTTGGCACTGATGGTCTCAGGCTAAATTTAGAAGGGCAGGAAGACCCCACGGTCTGTGTCTACTGCCAGGCCGGGGAGATACACTCTGCCCCGGGAGGAAAGGGCCCAGCGTGCTCAGCAGGCCACGGGGCAGCGACAGGCAGCAAGCAAGACTGAGGGAAGGAAGAGACCTCCAAGGACAGGGCTCTGAGCCCCTGCGAGGCAGGCGCGGCCCCCCTCTGGCGACACGAGTGGGCGTGGCCTGCAGGCAGAGGGCTGGACCCAAAGACCTCTGGATGTCCCCACCCCCACCCTGGCCTAAGCAGGGCCTGCTGCTGACAGAGTCAGCTGTCGAGCCCCGTGTGTAAAAATATATCTGTGCACATGCACAGGGTGAGGTGCATCTGCACAGAAATGAACACACCACGCCAGCGCCTGGGCCGCCGCTGGGCGCAGGGCCGAAGGGACGGAGGGTCCCCGCTTCCCACGGCTTCCGCACCGCCAGTGCCTTCACCGTAAGAGTGTGTTAGTGCCGTGATTATTTACGGAACAACCTACCAAAAATCGCCTGTGCTCTTATAGGGCCCCCTCCCTCTGTCTCCAAACACTGGTTTGTGAACTGTACGTTCCGCTGGGGGAGGGCAGGGAACCCAGCCCCGTCAATGCACCCCCGGCCCTTCATTTGGCCCAGGGGCTCAGAGCAGCCAGGGGTAGCCTGGAGCAAGGCTGGGGGGCCCTCTGGCTACCGAGCACAGGCCCGTGCCCCCCACTCTGCCCACCACGGCAATACGCAGGAACCAGTCCTGCCCGCGGACAAGTTCACCAATCGCCCCCCTATCCCCCAACCTGGGGGGCAAGTCCCAGCCGCCTACCAGGCCCCAGCCTCCGGGATGGGGTGGGCAGCACCTCCAAAGCCCACCCAGGTCACGAAGCAGTTTCGGGGCCCAGGAGGGTTGCTAGTCCTTTGTGGGCTGGCCCGGGCACCTCGCCATCACCTACAACTTTTTGTCTACGGGCAAAGGAAGTCTTCCCAGGCCCACCCACAAACTTGAACGAGGGCTGGAGCAAGCCTTTCCGAGGTGCCCCTGAGCACCTACTGTGCGCCGCGGCCGGCCAGCCCGCCTCGTCCCTCATCCCCTGCCCGGCCCGACCGGCCGCTCCCCCAAGGTCATGAGGGAGGCCGGGGCCACGGCCGTACCCCCGCGCCGCCGGCCCGGCCCGCGCGCCCTCCCCGCCCAGGCCGCGCTCGGCCACTTCCTGCTCCGCTCCTCCACCCCGGCTGCGCGCGGCCCGCGCCCCGGCCCCGCCGGCCGGGAACAAAGCGCCGGGCCGCGGGAGGAAATCCGGGCCCCGGCGGCGGGCGGGCGCGCGGCGGGCGGCGGGCGGCGGGCGGGGACTCACCGGGCGCCGCGTCCGGGCCGAGCGCGGGCCTAGCCGGGCCGCGGCCTCCGGCGCCCGCCGCTCGGCATCCCCGCGCGCCCGCCGGGCGGGGCCGGGCTGGAGGCCGCGGCGGGCGGGCGCTGTTCGGGCGGGCCTCGCGCGCCGCCGGGCCCGGTGCTCGTGGCGGCCGCCGGCTCGCGTCCTCCGGCTGCGCGTCTGCGCTGGCTGCGCTGGCTGCGCTGGGCCGGCCGCCCGCCGCCGCGCTCGGTCCCGCCGCCGCCGCCGCCGCCCGCCGCCGCCGGCCCGCCCTCTCCCCGCCCCGCGCCGCCCCGCCCGGCCGCCCGCCCACATCCGCCTCCGCCGCCCGGGGCGCCCCCGGCGCGGCCGGGGCGAGGGCGCGGCGCCGGGAGCGCGCGGCGGGCGGGCCGCCCACGCCGCGCGGGCCGCGTGCGCCCCGGCCTCAGTTTCCCGGCGCGTCCAGGGCGCCCGTGGGGGAAGGGCGGGCCGGGGACGATCCCCGGGCTTCTGCCTCCGTGGCGTGGGGGTGGGGTGGGTTAGTGCGCCTTTCCGAAGGTGCCCCAAGTGGGTAGCGGTGCTGTGGGCCTGGGAGCAGCCAAGATGACCCCCAAGGCCCAGTCCGAGGACCCTGCCAAGCGAGTGGTCCCGGGGCCGCGTGCAGGAGGCTAGGTGGAGGTCAGTGTGAGCGGCCCGGGCCGGAAGGCTGGCTGGAATGCACACAGGAGAGGGAAGGCTCGGGAGGAAGGGGTCATCGGCCCCTGTGCTGAAAGACCACCCGGCCCTGGGCAGGGCCCTCCATCCCTGGAGAGGGGCTTCCAAGACCTTCCCCTTGCCCCTAGGAAAGACAGGGACAGCTCTACGAAAGCAGATGGGAGACTTCACATGGTGACAGAGGCAGCAGAGGGCCACAGGGGCCGTGGCTGGGCATCCGCGGGGTCCTCGGCTTCATTGGACACACCTGGCCTGGGTTGCCTGCCCTGAGCTGGACAGACACCCAGAGGGGGTTCAGACACCTGAGAAGGGCTGTCAGAACAGAGGCAGCCCAGGCCCCTCCCTGCTGTCCACCTGGGGGGGGGGGGGGGGCGGCGCAAGGCTGAGAGGCTGACAAGCCAGGGGGACCCCAGTCCCCTCCACCTAGGGATTCCCAGGACGCTGCTGATGACTCCCCAAACCTGACCCCTCCCTGGGCCCAGCGCTCGGCTAGAGCCAGAAGTTTCTCCAGCAGCGGCCCCTCCCCCCATCCCTGAGGCCTCTAAGTTGATAGTAATCCTTTTGTAAAAGGAAGACTCTTGAGAGTTATCCTCCTGGAGTCGGTTTGTATTTTGTGGGGGAGAGGGGCATTTTTGTTCTTCATTCTGGGTCAGAGTTCAGCCTGGGAGGTATAGATACTTCATCTGGGGCAGAGGCAGTCTCCCCTGCTCAGGGGGAAGTGACTGCCAGTTCCTCCCCTTGGCCCCGCTGCCCCTCTCCCCAACCCAGCTCAGCACTCTCAGCTCTGAGTACCCCCAGGCAGGGCCTTGCCTCCAGGAAACCGAGGGAGAGGCCTGGACCAGTCATCCACGCTTCTGGGACCCAACACCGGCCCTGAGGCTCAGCCACCAGATGTCCTGCATCTGTCCATCCCTTACCCTGCGAACCTTCCCGGTGGGCCCCTGGGGCCCCTCAGGGACTGTCCCACCTACCCACTGCTCTCCCAGGAAGGGTGTCCATACCTGCCCCCATCCTGGCCTGGCAGGGCTATGGAGAAGGCCCAGGACAAGAAGAGAATGGGGGGGCGGGGTCTGGGAGGGTGCCCTCTCATGGAAGATGTGACCTCGCTGGAGCCCCGTGGCCATTTGAGGAAAGGCATCTTGGCCAGGAGGCTGCATCGAGGTGGTCCAAAACCTCCCGGCTGATCGGCCGCTGGCCTGTGTCCAGGAGGCCTCCCTGCCTGCTCTGCACGGAGCTCTGGTGCCCACCAAGTGCCGGAGACCTGCCGCGAGCCCCACGCCCCATCTCCGCAGCCCCCAGTCCCGTCTGCGCCTCTGTGTGAGCCTGCCCTGGGACTGGGGCAGCCCCGCAGGCAGGGCCAACCCTCTCCTCCTCTGGCCTCTCTTCTGCTTCCCTCAAGAACACCCCCTCTGCACCTCGGATAGAATGGCAAGATGGGGACCCACTGTCAGCCCGCCCCAGCCAACGCTGGGGCCTCTGGGGAGCCCCTTGGCCAGATGTTTCCAACAAAAACTGCTGTAGCAGTCTCCAGGAGGGTGGCTGCCTCCCCTCCACCCCTGGAGCTCAGGGACCTCGGGCCCTGTCACCTTCTGCAGCTGCCAGCCATCGGGCCGGACTTGCAGGCTGGCACCCCCGCCGGGTCTCAGCAGCAGCTGTAGGGCGGGGCCCGGGGGCAGCTCCCCGGCCAGATGGCCGCCTGGCCAGCTGCGTCCACGGAGGCTCTGCCTGCACCACTGCGGTGGCCTCCTGTCATCCCCGTGCCCGAGACCGCGATGGGCCGGAGAGGGGATCCGAGGGCAGGGGGGCGGGGGCGGCAGCTCCCAAGTGCCTTCCAGGGGCTGCCTGGGACAGCCCCTCCTGGGGAGTGGGGGGTGGGCCAGGGGCACTTAACCCGGGCCTTCCCACTCCCAGCAGTGAAGCCCCTCCTCCCGCTCTAGCTCATCCCTACCTGGGCGGGCCTCCCCGGCTTCCGCAGGCAGCGTTCTAACCTGCTTCGGCCCCTCTCCGCGCCCCGCAGCCTCGGTCAGGGCCCCAAGGAGAGCTTTGTCCCACTAGCCAGGCAGGGCAGGCCAGGACACTCTGCCCGCCCCAGGGCCTCACTCTGGCCCGCCTGGGGAGCTGTCTGCCCAGAGCCCCAGGATGGCCGGCCTCCCTCCCTGCCTCCGTGGCCTCTGGGGCCCGACCTGGGGAAGCAACACTGGACGGGTAGGCGCCCCGGAGCAGTCAGGATTTGGATGGACATCCCTCACAGAAGCCACTGCGTTCACTCGAGACATGTACTGAACCCCCATTTTGTGCCCAGCCAGCTTCTTAGCATCAAGGAGACCGCGGGAAAACCTTGAGGTCGTGCGGTCTCGGGACCTGGGGAATGCTCTAGAGAAGGCTCAAGCGGAGAAAGGAGAAGGTGGGCCTGGGGGGCTCTTAGCTGCGGTGGTCAGTGAAGACCGCTGTCGGGGGTGGGGCCCTGGGAACAAAGACAGAAATGGGGGAGGAGCCAGGGAGGGCTCTCTGGGGGAACACAGTGGGAACCCCAGGGCCCTATAGTTAACCTTCCACTTTGCAGATGAGGATTTCAAGGTTCAAGGAGGTCGAGTGTTGTGTCTGAGCTTGGGAGGGGCAGCGGGCAGGCTGTAAGCCAGACAGGACCCCCGGGGGCCGTCCATCAGGGTTCACTCTGACCTGACCTGAATCCGGCTCCTCCTGCTGGGGGCCTGGGCCAGGGGGGCTGGCCCTCCTTGAGGCTGGTGGGGGGGGGGTGTTGTGCAGAGTGGACAGACCTCAGGAGCCAGGGCAGTCTCAGTGGCTGAGTGCAGTGTGAGTTCAGGGTTCCAACGGTGCTGGCCAGATTTAGGAAAGAAAAATGCAGGATGTCCAATCAGATGTGAACTTCAAATGACTAAGAAATAATGTTTGAGTATAAAAATGTGGCTTTCCTTCCCACAGACTTGAGATACCAGCCGTGCCGGGCCCCTCCTCAGGTCCCCAACCCGAGGATTTGACTAGGACCCCTGGGTGGCTCACACCGCCCCCCCCCATCCCACAGGGGCCGCTCCCTCCTCCTGAGGAGCTGGGCTGAAGGCCTTCCCACTCCTCCTGCAGCCTGAGGTCCCACCCTCTGTAACCCCTAGTCCAGGCCTCCTTTCCACCTGCCCCCCACCCCTGGCTGGGGCTCCTCCTCCCCAGCCCAGCCTCCATCTCTGGGGCTGCGGGCAGTGCAGGTGGGAATTCAGGAGCCTGTCGGGATTCAAATCCCGGTTCAGGGACTTACCGCCTGCCCTATGGCCGCTGCGTGGCCGTGGGCCCTTCCCTCACTACCCCCATTCCCCCGCAAACGGGTGTAATGATGAGAGCATCTAGCTAGCTGCATTGCTGGGAAAGGATGCTGAGCAATGCTCAGTGCCTGGACTCTGCTCCATCAAGGGCAGCCCCTTTAGATCACTGCCCTGGGAAGAGACTGCCAGCCAACAGTCTCCCCCACCCCTGGGGCCCCAACTTCTCCAAAATCATTGCTTTCTATTTCCCTCAGGTTATTTCCTTCTCTCAGCAGGACTAGATGCCCCCTGACACCTTCAGGCTGCTCTTGCCCCTTGTCCCCAGGGTGCCAACTCCACCCCTCCGCAGGCTCTCCCCCTCCCTAAACACTTTTCTGCCTGCTCTGGACTCCGGGCGCTTGGGCCTCCGACTGACAGGCGTTTGTCGGCCTATCCGCCACGTCTGCAGAATCGTGCCCTGTCCCTGGGGCTCTGGGACACAGAGCTCAGGGTGCCCGGCCCCCTGCAGAGGTTGCGCTAGGCTCCGCTGCCAGGGTGGGAGTCCCCTGTTGTGGACTCTGCCGTGGAGATCCCGCTTAAGTGTTTGGAAGAAGGCACCAGCCAAACTGACTCCAATTTAAGAAGAGGCTTTCAACGAAGAAGGGGCGTCATCTTTTCAAAATTTACGACCCCCTCCATGTGTCCTCTCCTTCCTCCCACGGCCAGCGCCCCGCAAAGTGCGCCCTCGGGTGACAGCCCCAGCGCGGGCCCGGAAAGGAGCCGGTCCTCGGAAGGGGTTCCTTAGCAGAGGGGCGCATTTGGGACCCCGTGGGGGCGGGGGGGGGTAGACGCCCAGGCCCAGGCGGCAAATATCGCGAGAGCCCCCTCCCCCGCCGCGCCCCTCATCCCCTCCCACCCCGGTGCCCCAGCTGGCGGCTCGCCGGCCGGCTGGGCGAGGCGGGGCGGGCCGGGAAGGGGCGGCGAGGGTGACCTCAGCGGTTCCGCCGCTCCGGGAAGTCGCCTCGGCCCGCCCCCTCCAGCCCCCGCCCCGAGTTTCGCTCTCTCCGGGGCGGGGCGAGCGGCGGGCGCTGTCTGGCCGGCCAAGTTGGAGCGCGCCCCGCCCGGCGCCCTCCCGTCCCGCGCCCTCCCCGCCGGGGCACGCTGCCCGGAGCCCCGCGCACCGGGGCCGCACCGGGGAGGGTGCGCGGCGCGGGCGGCGGCCGGAGAGCCGCGCGGGACGGCGGAGGTGAGCGCGGAGGGCGGGCGCCGGCCCCGCCCGCCCGCCGGCCCGCTCCCCGCGGCCGCGCTGCCATAAATGGGGGCGGCGGCGGCGGCGGCGGCGGCGGAGGGCCAGGCGGCGGGCGGGCGGCGACGCGGGCGTCGGGGGACGCGGCGGGCGGCACCGCGGAGTGGAGTTCAGGGGCGGCCCGGCGGGGACGCGCGCAGGTTCGCGCCCCGGGGCCCGCCCCGCGGCCGGCGGCTTCTGTTCCCTTTCGATCGAGTTTTCCTGCTCGGGGCAGGTGCCGGGGCCCGCGGCGACATGGACTTCCCCGAGCACGGCGCGCGGCTGCTGGGCCGCCTGCGGCAGCAGCGCCAGCACGGCTTCCTGTGCGACTGCACGGTGCTGGTGGGCGCCGCGCGCTTCCCGGCCCACCGCGCGGTGCTGGCCGCGTGCAGCGTCTCCTTCCATCTCTTCTACAGGGACCGGCCTGCGGGCAGCCGCGACGCGGTGCGGCTCAACGGCGACGTGGTCACGGCGCCCGCCTTCGGCCGCCTGCTGGACTTCATGTACGAGGGCCGCCTGGACCTGCGCAGCCTGCCGGTGGAGGACGTCCTGGCCGCCGCCGGCTACCTGCACATGCACGACGTCGTCGAGGTCTGCAGGGGCAGGCTCAGGGACGGGGGCCGCGCGCTGCACCGGGGGGCCCCCGCCGCCCCGGCCGAGCCGCCAGGCCAGCCCCCGCGCCCCCAGCCCCCGCGGGCCCCGGAGCTCTGCCCGGCCGCGCAGAAGGCCAGGCCGCCCCGGGCTGGGGTCGGCGCCCTCCCTGCGCCAGCGCCCGGGCGCCCGCCCTGGCCGGCCCCCGGGGACTCAGACCGGGCCCTGGACCTGTCACTGAAGCCGAGCCCCGGGCGGGAGCCAGTCCCTCCACCCTGTGTCCTTCAGACCCCCCCCTGCAGCCAGATGCGACACTGCGTGCAGCGACTAGTGAGGGACTCGCGGGACTCGCTGTCGGAACCGGAGGACGGCAGCGGCCCTCGCAGCCCCCCCAGCCCCCCGCAGCCCCGCTGTGCTCCTGCGGCCAAGCGCCGGGCAGTGGGCGTGGAGCCGCTGCGGGGGGGCGGGGCGGGCGGCGGGGAGCGGGAGCTGGATGCGGAGCGGGGGGCCGGCGGGCACCTCTGCGTCTGCCCGCTGTGCAGCAAGCTGTTCCCCAGCGCCCACGTGCTGCAGCTGCACCTCGGTGCCCACTTCCGCGAGCCGGACGGCGCCCGGGCGCGCCTGTCGCCCGACGGCCCAGTGCCCACCTGCCCGCTGTGCGGGAAGACCTTCTCCTGCACGTACACGCTCAAGAGGCACGAGCGCACGCACTCGGGCGAGAAGCCCTACACGTGCGCGCAGTGCGGTAAGAGCTTCCAGTACTCGCACAACCTGAGCCGCCACGCCGTGGTGCACACGCGCGAGAAGCCGCACGCCTGCCGCTGGTGCGAGCGCCGCTTCACGCAGTCCGGGGACCTCTACCGCCACGTCCGAAAATTCCACTGCGGCCTGGTCAAGTCCCTGCTGGTGTGACCCGGCCCTGTGCGGCGTGGGAGGACGGGGAGGGACCTCCCAGGTGGGCCGCTGGGACGCAGCAGGAGGGATGGGAGCTGGTGGGGGGTGGGGGGCAGCCCGGTGCCGCAGCTGCCAGCAGAAAGGCCGCTGCTGCCCCTGGACCACAGGCTCAGGCTCGGGGTCACTTGGTCTGGCTTGGGCTGCCCTCTTCCACGCTTTGCTCCCCCCCCCCAACTGATTCCTGCCCCCAGCTGTGCCCTGACTTTGAACTCTGTCTTCCTCTCCATCCCCTGTGTCAGCTCCAGGGGGTGTCCCAAGGGCCCTGTCCCAAGGGCTCCCGCCCAGCCTCCTTGGCCCGAGGACGTTCTGCAGTCCTCTCAGCGGGGGCTTTCCTGACCCTCACTGACTCACGCGGGCATACCCTGGTGAGCCTGGCCCCAGGCTTGGTAGAGAATGAACACACCACAGAAGTTGTCAGCGTGTCCCGAAAACGGCACTTGGATGGAACAGGCCCCTCCTGGTGGGTGGCCTCAGGAGCCTCCGCGGGAGGCCCTGGGCCCAGGGCGTGCAGGCGGGGGACTCAGGGCACAGCTGGTGTGGCGGGGCTGCAGAAGCAGAACCAGCCAGACGCTGAAGGGCTCTTGAGTTCCAGGTGCTGGGGTGGGAGGTGGGTCCTCCAGAGCTTCTGATCCTGACCACACTGTAACTCGGTCGGAGAGAGGGAGTCACAATTTGGATATGATTCTCTTTAGATGCAGAGAGCCTCCCCGAGGTTGCCGGCTATCTGCCTGCAGGCGAGGGCCGTGCTGCTTCCCTGCCTGGGCCCGGGGTCCAGGGCGCGTCTGAGCATCCCCTGGGTGGGGCCCGGAGGGGCCTTGAGTATCGCCAGCTGCTACCGGGCTGCTGTGGGGCTCACCCTGAGGTCACCGGTTTGCCTGCTCAGGGTCTCCCCGGAGTGCCGGTCGTTTACGGAGCACTGAGCTGGGGGCCAGAAGCTGCTCTCTCTACTAGGGGCGATGTTTGCAGGCTTTCCCTTCCCTCCAGTGGGGCCTAGGTGGAAGCTGCCATCGAACAGGGAGGGGACAAGCACCTGCTGGGCTGGGGGCATAGCCCCCCACTGTCACCCACAGCTCCTGGACCCCGAAAGACCTCTGCATTTGCAGTTGGTGGGGGTCACCCAGCAAATCTTGCTGCCAGAATCTCCGTGATGATGGCAAGGGGCGAGGGCAGGCGGGGGCTTGCCCCTGCTTCTGGGGGTCCTGCACGTGGCAGAGCCCCCTGGACTCCTGATGTCCACTGACTGGAGGCATTAGGACAGAGTCCAGCCAAGCTTAAGTTATTTTCTCGTCTCCTGGCAACACTTGATGTCGTATTTATTTGTCTGCCCGGTCTGGAGTGAAACGACCGGTGGCCTTCACAGCAGGCGGGCAGAAGGGGCCGTCTCCCTGCACACCCTCGGCTCTCCGGCTGTGCGGGCAGCCCACCGTGCGGTGCAGGGCCTCTCCTGGTGCTTGGGACTCCGAGGCCCTGGCCTGGATGCAGACCACACAGCACACCGGGCAAGGGGCCCCCTGCTTGTGATCATCCTGGCTCTGGGCCCCGCACCTCTGGAAGGGTTACCTCACGCTCCGTGTCACCTCCTCCATGATCAGGTTTCCGTGTGTGTGTGTGTGTGCGTGCACGCGCATGTGCGTGTGTCTAGTAAATGGCGAGGCCGAGCCATACCCACAGCGCCGCCGGCGGCCCTGGTTTTCCCCAGGGGTTCCATGGGGGAAGGAACTTACTTTCCTGTCCTGACTTATCGACACTGGATTCATTGTCTTCTGCAAACAGTTACTGTGAAGTTAATGTAAAGACAAGTGGTTAGTTTTTAATGTGATAACCAACACAGTTCAGACGAAATCTCTATATATTTAACACACAATTGTGTGGGAATGTGTAGTAAAGGGGCGTGTGGATGCCGTCCCAGGGGAGCCTGCTGTGTTGGGTCCTCCTGGGCCCGTCCCGCCGCCTCCCCGCGGCCTCATCTGCTCTGCCCCGGGGGTGGGCTGCGCCCAGTGACCCAGAGGACGGTGGTTTGTGCTTAGCGTCTGGCGGGAGGTTTTGTTTGCCATGACAGTCGGAAGCCAGAGCTGTCCTCCTGTGTGCCCATCATCGTCTTCATGCTCACAGTGCTAATAAAGTCTGCCCCAGGTGGAGATGGCCGGGGTTATTCCTGGGGACGGGAGCGTGTGCATCTCCAAGTGTGTGTGGGAAGTGTGGGCCCTGCTGTTCTGGGCCGGTGGGGGCAGAAGAGGCCCCGGGGGCAGGGGAGGGTCCTAGGTGGGCAGTGGCCACTCTGGGGACCCTGTCTCAGATGGCATCACCTGCTGTGCCCCATTGCGGGGGGCGTGGGCTAGGGCAGGGCTATGGACAGGTAGCACACCCTCTTTCCTCAGGCTGCCCTCCCTGCCCTGGGGCGTGGGGGGGCAGGATGCAGGCTGGGACCTGGTGAGGGGACCCTAGTTTCTTGTGCGGGGGGCTATGGGGGAATCTGCTGAGCAGCCACAGGCCCTCGAGCTTGGATCTGAGGCTTCCTGATCCTCTGGTCTTGGGTCCTCCTGTCTACCTCCTGTCCAACCGCAACTCCTGGGCCCCCCCCACCTGCCCCCCACATGCCCTTTGCCTTTTTCCTTCCCACCACAACTCATATGTACCCCACCTCCCTCGGGGTGGGACTGGGCCCTCAGAGGCCAGGATTTGGGCGAGAGGTGGGCAAGGCTTGGAGGGGATGTGTCGCTCCTGGCCCCACCCTCACCCTGTGGGGCCCTCCCTGACCTCTAGAGAGCCCCGGGGACTGGGGATGAAGCTGGGCAGTGGCTGGGCAGGCCTGGCCCCGTGGGGGTTCTAGAGCCCTGAACCAGATCAGGCTGGTGTCAGAGCTGACAGCTGGGCGTGGGTGGGCGTCCCAGCCCCTGCTCAGCCCTTGCATGGGAATGTGGAGCTGGGGCTCTCTGAGCGTTCCCTTGAGCTGTGCCTTTTCACCGGGCCCGGGGCAGATGAGCAGATGGCCTCTCGTGTGTGTCCCAAGCCTCGTCCTGGCCAAAGTGTCCCCCAAGAAGAGCCAAAGCAGACCCAAGGGCAGGGCAGGGGGAACCGTACTTGCATGGGGTCCCCAAGGGTGGTGCCGAGCTGAGCTGGCGCTCAAAAGGCTGCTGGGTTTGGGGCTATACTTTGAGGCCTTACCAGTCCTTGCCCCAAATGCGGGTCATTGCTTCCTGGCGGTGGTGCCCGGCACCTCCCCTCCCCCACGCAGCCTGCCTCCCACTGAGCCCTCCTCCTGGACCAGCGCCACTGACCTGCAGGGAGACCCAGTCATGTTACCAGTTGGGCCTTCTCAGAACCGGCTGTTGCCAAGCCAACCGGGGGGGGGGGGAGGGCATGGAGAGGCCCCCTTAGGGGGAGGGGCTGGCCTGGGAGGGGGCTGATATGAGGTACCCACACTCAGCTCACTGCCGGCTCCATCACCCACGCCTCTGGGGCTGGAGCCATCCAGCCTGACCCACTGGCGGGATGGTAAACTGAGGCACGTGGAAGGGCCTGGGGCCTCCTCCTCCCTCCTATCCCCCTCCTCCACCAGCACTATCTTCCCAGTAGACCCCCACAGAAACCGACCCCTAAAATCTGGGCCAACTTCTAAGTGGAGGATGGAGTGCTCGGCCATCTGCACGAGGACTAGTGGTAGGGAAGGGCTGTTCCTCCCTTCCCTGCGACCCCCTGCTTCCCGGGTATTTCCTGGTTCCGCCGCACCTCCTTTGTCCCTATCAAAGGGAAAACGGGTCTGGGCCTCTCCCACGCACGCCCACTAGACGTCCCCAACACCAGCGTGGACAGCAGCCCTCTGCTTGTCACAGAACCCCGCGGGGAGGGCCACCTGCTCCTCGTCCTGGTCCCCAGGGCAGTTCTGTTCTGCCTCAGTCTTCTCATGCGTAAGATGGGAATCATGGCACGCCTCTGCAGAGGGGCGAATGGGGTCATGCCCGGTGGGCACACGGGCAGCGGCCGCTACATGCTGGCCGCCCCTTCTGCTGCGGACGACAGCAAGCCTAACACAGCTGCCTCCCCTGGGGCCAGCCGTGGCTCAGAAGGGCCCCAGCGCCGAGGGCCTTGGCAACAGTGCCCCGCAGAGCAAGTGGAGCTCCTCCTGGGAGTGTTGGCTGGGCTGGGTTGCGGGCGACAGCAGTTTGCAGTTTGGGGACCGGCGCTGTTGGGCCCTGTGCCTCCCCACAGGGTCACCTGCCCCCGGCCCTCATCCTCCCTGGCCGGGTCCCCCACAGGGGTCTCCACGAGCACAGGCGGCTGTGGGAGGAGTGCGGGGACAGCTGGCTGGGGGCCTAGGGCAGCAGGCCCTGGCTAGCGGCTGGCCCTGCAGAGATCTCAGCGGATCTGGGGTATCCCCAGAAATCTAGGGGGGCAGGGACTCACCTCCCTGATTGGAGCCAGGTGGCATTGCTTTCGGCAATTTGAACAAAGTCTATACTCAGAGAAACCTATTCCCCGCCCTGTGCCGCAGACACAGGGACACGACACCACGCCCTGGGCAGCTTGCACCACAGGCGTTTACATTCTCGAAATTCCCGAGGCTGGAAGTCCGAGATCCGGGTGTCGGCAGGGCTGGTTGTTCCTGGGGCCTCTCTCCCGGGCGTGGAGACGCAGTCCTCTCCCGAGTCTGTGTCCTGATCGCCTCCTCTTATAAGGACTCCCGTCCTAGAACCTCATTTTAACTTGATCACCTCTGTAAAGACCCTCCGTCCAAGTACGGTCATGGTGCGAGGTGCTGGGAGTTAGGGCTCCCACACGGGAATTCTGGAGACACACTTCAACCCCTAACAGTCGGGGTTTCAGAAGCTTGCGGAGGCTCACATCTGGGCCGGCCACTGCAGTTTTCTTGTCAGTAAGGTTTGTTGAGGATTCCATTTCGCCCTCCAACGTGCTGGGCAGCCCACGGGCCACTGGGCACAGCCGCCTGCCGCCGTCCCGTGTCCAGACCACGGTGCAGGGAGGACTGCCCTCAACGGGCCCAAACCCATTCTGCCCACACCCTCCACAGTGGCCCGCACCTGAGTCTCACCCCCTCGTTGCTGGCGTCCCAGGGCGCGGACCCCCGGCCTCGCTGTCCCGCGGGGCTGTTGCTCCCAGCTCTGCTTCCCCTGCAGAGTGCCCCTCCCATCTGCCCTCCCAAGCCGGCCAGGAAGGGACATCTCTACCCCCCACTGCCTCTCACAGAATCTCATATCTCTTGAGGCCCACACCCCCCAAGGGTAAACCACCCTCCCTTCCTCTCTGCGCTGGTCTCCGAGCCCTGAGGTCCCTCTGCTCGCAGAAGGCTCCCCCTCCACACTCGCTGAGCCATCCCCTCAACCAGTCTCCGAGGCCAAGGCTCTGGACATCCCACGGTCTGCAGGCAAATGCATCCAGCATCCTTCCCTGGGCTCCGTGGCCCCTTCTCCTGCGCCCCCACACCCGGGTCACACAACAGCTGCACCCCCCTTGGAACCTCAAGTCCAGCCGCCCCCCGCCCCCGCCCCTGCAGCACAAGCTCCGTTTCCCCATTCGCCTGACCACGCAGCTTCTCGGTCACGAGTCTGAAGCTGCCGGCGTGGCCACCTTCTTCTCACCATCTCCGGCCCCTCCCCTCCACCCGGCTCCCCTGCCCAGGCGCTGAGTCTTTGGGGAACCCAAGCCTGGACAGATGCGGCCCCTCCCCTCCCTACAGCGGCCTGCAGAAAGGGAGGGGCTTGGGCAGTCGGCTTGAGCCCATTCCAAGGACACCATAGAAGGAGAGCAGGACCGACCGCCCAGAGGGCTGCTGACGCTTGCCCAGCTCTGCTGGACCGACCCCCCGCACAGAGAACCACCGATGTGAGGGCGCTGGAGAGCCAGGGGGGCGGGCAGCACGTGCACAGGACTCGGCGGGAAGCACGGTGCCACCGGTTTGTCACAAGGCACTTAGGGGGCACGCGGGGCAGTGCTCAGCACCGGTAGCCACCAGGGACCCCGCAGTGAGGCCGCGGGACACGCCCGTGCCCAAACGGGAAGCCCGGCGGCACTCACACAGGTGGGACGTGGCGCCGCGCTGGGGAAGGCGCCCCTTGCTTGGGAGGTAAAACATACCCCGGTCACGTGACCCGGCCATTTCCACCGGGAGGGCTCATCCGGGGGAGGGGAGACGTGTGTCCCCAAGGGACCTTCCTCACGTGTTCGTGGCAGCGAGAGCCGCGTTAGCAAAGAGCCTGCGACAACCCCAATGTCCACCAGCTGGAGTGGACGTGCCAGGTGCAGAATCCTCACCCCACGGGACGGCGTGTGACCGTGAAGGGTGGGGTCCCTGTTCCGGGGGACAGAGGGCAGCAGGCAGGAAGGGCGCCCGCCGTGCCGTCTCACCTGCACGAAGCTCTAGAGCGGGCGGGGTAGCGTCCAGGGGGAAAATCAGACATTTGCCCCTGCAGGGGGAAGCAAGGATCGAGGGGGTCCAAGGGGACTTTGGGGGGTGGTGGACAGTTCCTGAGTTTTACAGGGTGGCATGCCATGTGGCCGTCAAGATGTATCAAACTTTACTGTGCATTTTGATGTGTGTACATTTAAAAACCCGATAGAACAGTGAAAGGGCAGGAACAGACAGGGCTGTGGATGCGGCCAGAAGAGCGGGGAGCGAGCAGCTGCTGAAACCGAGACAGGTGCCGGGAGCTTACTGTGTTCTGGAAACTCCCATGTTTGAAACTTTCCATGATAAAATGCTTGGAGACCCCCTTCTGCATCAGACTGGCACAGCCTGGTCACATCCTCATGCGTGAGGCTGCGGGGCCCGTGCCTGGCAGGCGTGGAGTGGGCGCATGCCCGGCTGGGCCGTAACAGTGCCTGTGGGCGGTGGGACCAGCTCCCTGGGCTCCCGCAAGCGCCGCTCACCAAGCACACGTGCGGACGGCAGTGTGACCCTCCCTCCAGGTGCCAGGGACATGATCAGCACAAGAACACGCATGTGCGTGGTTACAAAATATTCTTGGAAGAATACTAAAGAAATAAAAGGTGGAATGTGGGTCATTCATGGGGAGGGAACTTGGTTCCTGCCTGACCGGGGGAGGGGGGGAGATCTGGTTTTATTTTGAATCATGTTATGGGTCATTGGTCACCAACATACATGAATTAGGTTAAACTTGAAACCCCGTCCTTTACCCCTCACATTCCGGCAGGACTTCTCATACGACTGCTTATGTCTGTGTCTTTTTACGCCCCTTATTCCCTCAGTGTCGTGTTTTCACCTTGATTCTGCCATTAAAAGACACATACCGGAGCTGCTTCCCCTGGCGTGTGCCCCCAACGCACCGCATTCGCCCCTGCCTTTGGGCTCCCACGACTACTCATTTCTCGGGTGTTCGCCAATGTTTCTGTAAATACGGATATTGATTCTCCCCAGTGTCCCCCACGGAGGTGTCACACCACAGAAGCTGTTCTGAATGTTGCTGTTTTTCCTCTTAAAAACAGACAGTAGAGATCCTCCCACACCAGCGCATGAACGACCTCAAGGCCGTAACCTCTAAACAGCCACACCCGGTCCGCTGTGGGGTTGTGTCATCACCGGCTGGTCCCCTGGAGCGGACACTGGGCGCTTTCCAGAGTTCTGCTGGTAGACGCCATGCTCTGGCAGATAGCCTTGATCGCGGAGCCGGTGGGCATAGCTTCTCGGGGGGCACAAGTACTTGGGATGCCAAGAGCGCCAGAGCGCCTCCACGGCGGCGGTCCGTGTCGTTTCCCCGGCACCTGCTCCCTACTTGCCAACCACGGCAAGTGACCGCACTGTGGGCTTCTCCAAAATCCAGTAGGTGAGGACTCGTTATCTCTGTATGACTTTCATGTGCATTTCTCTTACTACGGGTGACCCTGCACTCATGGGTCTTTTGTATTTCGTCTGGGTTGACTCTTGGCTTGTGTCTTTTGTCCATTTTTTTTTTTTAAAGATTTTATTTATTTATTCGACAGAGAGAGACACCCCCCCAAGCAGGGGGAGTGGGAGAGGGAGAAGCAGGCTTCCTGCCGAGCAGGGAGCCCGACGTGGGGCTCGATCCCAGGGATCATGACCTGAGCTGAAGGCAGACGCTTAACCGACTGAGCCACCCAGGCGCCCATCTTTTGTCCATTTTCCTATTGGGCATTTCCACTCCGATGTCAAGGGATTCGCCAATATTTTTGGTACATTTTTATGGCTTAACTTCGTTTACATTTAGCTCTTTCTTTTTAACTGCTATGTGGTCAAGGGGTGGCTCAGACTTTCTTGTTATTCAGATGAGCAACGCCGTCTGTGCAATCTGTCCAGCTTCGCTGACCATCATGACCACGCACAAACCCCCCCTTGTGCTGTGGCTTGTGACCTCTGCCCTCCGCTGCCCTCCCCTCATTCTCCTGCGGCCATGACACATTTTGATCTCTGGTGGGGCTGGCCGCTCCCTCCTCTTCTTTTTCAGAGTCTTCTTGACTATTTTTGCTTGTTCATTTTCCACGTGGACTCCAGACTCAGCTCATCCTGCTCAGGGGGAAAGCTATTTACCCTGCAATCCACTCCAGTACGACTCCCCCCAAACCGCTCATGACATCAGCAGCCTCCAGGCTGCTTTCATGCCGGGGCCGCGGGCCTCCATCTCACCACTCCCTGCTGCAAATACTCCTCTCCCAGCTTCCTTCTACCTCACTGCTCGCGCTCCACTCTATCCCAGCTCTACACACAGGGCGCCGCTCAGCCTCCGCGGCGCTCCCTTCTCTGTCACTGCTGTTCCTTAGGGAGTCTCACCCTTTCCGTTGTGACAAATGCCCTCTCTTTTTAAAACATTTATCTATTTATTTTAGAGAGAGTGTGTGCAAGCAAGCATGGGGAGGGGCAGAGGGAGAGAGAATCCTGTAGCGGCCTCCGCACTGAGCGTGAAGCCCGACGTGGGGCTCGATCCCAGGACCCCGAGATCATGGCCTGAGCTGAAACCAAGTGTCAGCTGCTCCACGGACTGAGCCACCCAGGCGCCCCTCCTCAGATGCCTTCTCTTGCCCATGACACCTGCACACTCTCCTGAGTGCCTTCCAGGAGCGCAAAAGGAAATCTGGATCCCCCCCCAAACCAGTTCTCTCCCAGCCGCTCCCCTTCCAGCAACCAAGAGCCCCAGCGAGCCTGTCGTTGGAGCTGGGAGCCTGGGTGCTCCTTCTTTGACCTTACTCCCCACGTTCCACAGAAAGGTCTGGGGCTTCTATCTGCAGGTCTGGGGCTCTCCACCTCCACTGCCAACACCCTGGTCCAAGTCACAGTCACCATCCACACAAGTACTGCCGGTCTGCCAAGGCATCCCTCAGACCCTATCAGTTCCTCACCCCGCTTGTAAGGACATCCAGTCCCATTCTTCCCTGGTAGATGCGGCCCCTGCCTTCCCCGACCCCACCTCCCAGCACCTGTCCTGAGCCTTTCCTCTCTAAGGTTTGGAGTCGCCAGCCCTGGCCCAGGTCCGAGAGCGTGCTGCTTGCTTTCTTGCCTGGCCTGGTCGACCTCCACTGGAAGGGGCTGGGGCCAAGGGCCTGTAGGACTGGGGGTCTGGGGACTGGGGGTTGGGGCGAGAACCCAGATGACTGGGGGTGTGGGGTCTGGGGATTGGGGGCGTAGGATCCAGGGTCAGAGGACTAGGGGTCTGGGGGCTGGGGTCCAGGGCTGAGGACGCAGAGGACTGGGGGTGTGGGGATTGGGAGTATGGGGTCTGGGGTCGGAGGACTGGGGGTCTGGGCAAGAACCCAGAAGACGGGGTGTGGGGTCTGGGCTGGAGGACTGGGGGTCCAGGTACTGGGGGTGTGGGGTCCAGGGCCAGAGAACTGGCGGTCGGAGCACTGGGGGTGTGGGGGCAGGAGAACTGGGGTGAGGTCCGGGGATTGGGGGTGTGGGGTCGGGGCTGGAGGACTGGGGGTCCAGGCACTGGGGGCGTGGGGGCCGGAGGACTGGGGTGAGGTCCGGGGGTTCGGGGTGTGGGGTCGGGGCCGGAGGACTGGGGGTCCAGGCACTGGGGGCGTGGGGGCCGGAGGACTGGGGTGAGGTCCGGGGGTTCGGGGTGTGGGGTCGGGGCTGGAGGACTGGGGTGAGGTCCGGGGACTGGGGGTGTGGGGTCGGGGCCGGAGGACTGGGGGTCCAGGCACTGGGGGCGTGGGGGCCGGAGGACTGGGGTGAGGTCTGGGGACTGGGGGTGTGGGGTCGGGGCTGGAGGACTGGGGGTCCAGGCACTGGGGGCGTGGGGGCCGGAGGACTGGGGTGAGGTCCGGGGGTTCGGGGTGTGGGGTCGGGGCTGGAGGACTGGGGTGAGGTCCGGGGACTGGGGGTGTGGGGTCGGGGCCGGAGGACTGGGGGTCCATGCACTGGGGGCGTGGGGGCCGGAGGACTGGGGTGAGGTCCGGGGACTGGGGAAGTGGGGTCCAGGACTGGAGGACTGGGGGTGTGGGAGCGGGGCCGGAGGACTGGGGGTCCGGGTACTGGGGGTGTGGGGTCCAGGGCCAGAGAACTGGCGGTCGGAGCACTGGGGGTGTGGGGGCAGGAGAACTGGGGTGAGGTACGGGGATTGGGGGTGTGGGGTCGGGGCTGGAGGACTGGGGTGAGGTCCGGGGGTTCGGGGTGTGGGGTCGGGGCCGGAGGACTGGGGTGAGGTCCGGGGGTTCGGGGTGTGGGGTCGGGGCTGGAGGACTGGGGGTCCAGGCACTGGGGGCGTGGGGGCCGGAGGACTGGGGTGAGGTCCGGGGGTTCGGGGTGTGGGGTCGGGGCCGGAGGACTGGGGTGAGGTCCGGGGACTGGGGGTGTGGGGTCGGGGCTGGAGGACTGGGGTGAGGTCCGGGGACTGGGGGTGTGGGGTCGGGGCTGGAGGACTGGGGTGAGGTCCGGGGGTTCGGGGTGTGGGGTCGGGGCCGGAGGACTGGGGTGAGGTCCGGGGGTTCGGGGTGTGGGGTCGGGGCTGGAGGACTGGGGGTCCAGGCACTGGGGGCGTGGGGGCCGGAGGACTGGGGTGAGGTCCGGGGGTTCGGGGTGTGGGGTCGGGGCCGGAGGACTGGGGTGAGGTCCGGGGACTGGGGGTGTGGGGTCGGGGCCGGAGGACTGGGGTGAGGTCCGGGGGTTTGGGGTGTGGGGTCCAGGACTGGAGGACTGGGGTGAGGTCCGGGGGTTCGGGGTGTGGGGTCAGGGCCGGAGGACTGGGGTGAGGTCCGGGGGTTCGGGGTGTGGGGTCGGGGCCGGAGGACTGGGGTGAGGTCCGGGGACTGGGGGTGTGGGGTCGGGGCTGGAGGACTGGGGGTCCAGGCACTGGGGGCGTGGGGTCCGGAGGACTGGGGTGAGGTCCGGGGACTGGGGGTGTGGGTTCGGGGCTGGAGGACTGGGGGTCCAGGCACTGGGGGCGTGGGGACCGGAGGACTGGGGTGAGGTCCGGGGACTGGGGGCGTGGGGTCGGGGCCGGAGGACTGGGGGTCCAGGCACTGGGGGCGTGGGGGCCGGAGGACTGGGGTGAGGTCCGGGGACTGGGGGCGTGGGGTGGGGGCCGGAGGACTGGGGTGAGGTCCGGGGGTTCGGGGCGTGGGGTCGGGGCCGGAGGACTGGGGTGAGGTCCGGGGGTTCGGGGCGTGGGGTCGGGGCTGGAGGACTGGGGGTCCAGGCACTGGGGGCGTGGGGGCCGGAGGACTGGGGTGAGGTCCGGGGACTGGGGGCGTGGGGTCGGGGCCGGAGGACTGGGGTGAGGTCCGGGGACTGGGTTGTGGGGTCGGGGCCGGAGGACTGGGGTGAGGTCCGGGGGTTCGGGGTGTGGGGGCGGGGCCGGAGGACTGGGGTGAGGTCCGGGGGTTCGGGTGTGGGGTCGGGGCTGGAGGACTGGGGGTCCAGGCACTGGGGGCGTGGGGGCCGGAGGACTGGGGTGAGGTCCGGGGGTTCGGGGTGTGGGGTCGGGGCCGGAGGACTGGGGTGAGGTCCGGGGACTGGGGGCGTGGGGTCGGGGCCGGAGGACTGGGGTGAGGTCCGGGGACTGGGTTGTGGGGTCGGGGCCGGAGGACTGGGGTGAGGTCCGGGGGTTCGGGGTGTGGGGGCGGGGCCGGAGGACTGGGGTGAGGTCCGGGGGTTCGGGGCGTGGGGTCGGGGCCCAAGAAGCCGAGAGCCCCGCTCCTTCTCGGCCCTCCTCACTCTATTACGACCTGTCGCCCGTCCTTGACGCCACCCAGGGAGGTTCTCGAGGGGACAACGCGCCCCGCCCCGCCCACCCGAGCTGACGGGTGGCGAGGCGACGGCCGCACGTCCGCTCCAGGACTCGGCGAACGGCCCCGCACCAGCCCAGCACCCGACCCGCGGCTCGCGCCCGCAGCCTCCCGGAAGTGTCGGCGGCCGCGCATGCTCGCCCCGCCTCCCGCGCGCTGCCCCGTCACGTGGGCCGGCGTGCGCCGCCCCGGAAGCGCCCCGGGGAGCGCGCGCCCGGGGCCGCGGTTGTGCGCGGGCGCCCGCGGGGGACGCTGCGCCGGGCTCCTGGGCGGGCCGGGCGCGTCGGGCGCGCCGGGCGAGGGGCGGGGCGGTCTGCGGGCCCCGCCCCGCCCTCGCCGGCCCGCCCGCCCGCCCGCCCGCCGCCGCGCCCGCTCGGCTGGAGCACGGAACTCTCTCCGGGGCCGGAGGGGGTGGGGGAGAGGCCCCACCCGCCTGCAAGGGCTGGCGTCCCCGCGCTCTGCCGCGGCGGTGTCGTCGCCGGACGGCTTGGTCGGCTCCAGACCTAGGAGTCCTGCCTCCCTCCGTGGACAGTGGAATAAACCCCGTCCCCACCCGCCGCTGCCTCCAGGGGGGCCCTGAGCCCCCCCCTTCTTCCCGCCAAACCGGCCTAAAAAGCAAGCTTGATTTACTTCCCAAACTTCCTGAAGGGAGTTTGAGCAAATGCCACTACTTTGCTGAAAAGCCTTGTTAAGCTACTTGGTTGGATGATGGTTGGGTAAATGGATCGCTGCTGTATCAGTTGTCGCCCTTTCGCTTCGAGTAGTAGAAATACTGACACGTGTGGTCATCTGAACCCACGGGAGCTTGTTTTTCCTCCCATAACAGGAAGCCTGGAAGCGGGAAGATTTCTGTTAGTTCGGCAGCCCAGCATCTCTGTAACCAGGAGGGGCTTTCCCCTCCTGGTCACAGAGGGTTGCCACAGCTCCAGATGTTACATCTGGGGCCCCCTGGAGGAACATACATCCATGTTCCAGGCTGGACAAAGGTGGAAAAGGATAGTGACAGAGCTGTCTCTTTTATCATGGAAACAAAGTGCTCAGATGCTCCCCAGTGGGCCTCCGGCTACATCTCACTGGCCAGAACTTACGTCCCAAGGCCAACTCTGCTGCAGCACCGCTGGGGAGTGGGCTTGAGCTTTGCAGGTGTTTATAGTGAAAGAGAAGAGAGCGGGGCTAACGGCTGGGGTGGACATCTGTCGCTGTCGCTGTCCAGTGTCTCTCATGGTTCCCATGTTGTCAATCCCGTCTTCCAACTCAGAATTCAGAGGGAGCACCCAGGCCTGCGTCCCTTACCATGTCTGATGTGGCCTGTAAGGGGGCTGCCACACCAGGACACCAGTGGGCTGCTGGGACAACGCTTTGCTGAATCTGGTCTTGGCAAAGGCAGCGTATTTCTGGGGCGGGAGGTGGTGGTGTTAGCTTCCTGCTGCTGCAGAAATAGGGCATTTCTGGGCTTGGTGGAGGCAGCAGATCCCTCACCCAGACCAGCTCAGGTAGGGGGTCCTGGAAGCTTAGCCCAATCCTCAAGCCATCTTACAGCTCCTTATAAATCCACATTTGCTTAACAGGTGGATTCTTTTGTCTGCAACAGTATGGGTTGGATTGTGTCCCCTCAAACGTTACCTTGAAGTCCTAATCCCCAGTACCTGTGACTGTGACCTTAGTTGGAAATAGGGTCTTTACAGATGTAATCAAGTAAGAAGAGGTTATTAGGATGGGCCTTAATCCAACATGACTGGTGTCCTTATAAGAGGGACATTTGGATGCAGACACACGAGGGAAGAGGCCTTGTGACAGCCAGGCAGAGATTGAAGGGGTGCAGCTGTGAGCCCAGGAGGGCCCGGACTGACAGCCACACCAGAAGCGAGGAGGGCGGCAGGGAGTTTCCTGTCCTGGGGTCTCCTGAGGGAGCGCAGCCCTGCCGTCACCTTGATTTCAGATCTGGCCTCCAGAATGTGAGAGAATAAACTTCCGTTGTTTTAAGCCCCCAGTTTATGGTCTTTTGTTCCAGCAACCCAGAGAACCCCAGCCCCTGCCCCAAACCACAGTGCCGGGGTGAGTGGGAAGGGGGGTGGATGGACGTGTAACCAAATTCCAGGCGGTGGGGTTTGCTTAGTGATGAGGCTCCCCACATCCTTAGAGAGATGAACAGCTGACTCAGACTCTCTCTGTGCTTTCCAAGAAGCAACAGAGCTACCACCCTTGGCAGCCGCCCTCCCCAACACCCACCTGGCTGCCCTGCCTACTTGTGCAGAGGAGCAGGGAGGAGGGGAGACCTTGGCCCCATGGGGGCACCGTGTTCAGGGTGAGATGAGTGATTTTCACCCCCCATGGCCCCTGAAGCCAAACCTTGGTTCTTATGCTCGGGCTGGGGTGGGCACTGCACCCAGGAGGGTGGGCCACAGCTGTGCGAACTGGGACAGCCAGGGCCTGGAGGGCTGGGTCCCAAGTCATCCTCAGGTCACAGGGTGGTGAGCCCTGTACTCTTGCTCTGACAGCAAGGAACCAGGTGTCTGCATGGGGAGGCCCCTTCCTCCTGGAGTCCGGGGCTGCTCTCCATCCCAGGATGTCTTCAGCATCCAGGGCTCTCTGCTTGGCGGGGGGTGGGGGCGGCGTTTCTCAGCATCCCCTCAGCCTGGAGGGGCTCTCAGCATCCAGGGGACCCACGCAGCGTCCCAAGGGCACTCCGCATCGGTGGGGCTCTCCACATCTGGGGTGGTGGTGAGGGGTTCTCAGCATCCGGGGGAGTCGCTCAGCATCCCGAGGGCCCTCAGCATCCGGGGGTCTCCGCATCTGGGGTGGGGGTGGGGGGCTCTCAGCATCCCGGGGACCGTCTCAGGAGTCCTCCGGGCCTCGTCCCCGCGACCAGCGCGCCATCTGGCGGCCCCGAGCCGCAAAGCACCCCGCGCAGGACCCGCCTCTCTTAGGGATGCGCTGGGGGCTCCTCCGAGCAAATCCCCTCCGCCCCCCGATCGTGGAGCTGAGGGAAAGCGCCGCCCTTTGAGTGCAGCTGGCGCGGGTGGAATCCGGGCTCCCGCCCTGCCGGGGGTGGGGAGCGCACACCTGGGGAGACCCTGCCCCTGCGCGCGGACCAGGGGGTGTGTGGGACGGGGTGGGGGGAGCGGGGCTGGTCGCGGGGGCTCCCAGGAGAAAGGGGGAAGCTTGGGGCTTTAGGCGGCGCTTAGGAAGGTGGCTCTGTGTGCAGAGAGGAGAAAGGGGGGCGGCTGCCCTGGTCCCAGGCGAGGACGAGGCCTGGACTCCCCCCCCACACCCCCAAGTAAGCGGTCAAGGCCTTGGTGGGCGTCCGGGTGTGGAGGGACGGGTGGCGAAGCAGGTGGCCAGGGCCGGATCTGCGGGACAGGGACGGTCACGGCGGGGGGCACCGGGGCGGTGACCTCGGCTCTGGCACCTGCGATGGGGGAACAGAGAGACCTGGTGGGGTCTGGGATTTGGGAGGGGCCAGCACAGGCCTGTGTTGGGGCCTCGGGGGTGGCTGCCCCCCGGAGCCCGGGAGGGTGGGGGCGGGGGGGGCGCCATTGCGAGCGGAGGGGCTGCCTGGAGGCGGCCTCGGTCTCTGCGGGGGCGGGGCGATGGCAGGCCAGGTTCAGGTGGGGACCCGCCAGGGGTCTCTGGACAGCTTGCGGGCAGCAAGAAGGGAGAGCAGGAGCTGGAGGGGCTCCAGTACCCCCGGGACTGTGGGGGTCCTCAAGGACGCGCCGGTGCTCACACCCAGCCTGCCCTCTGCCCCGCCCTCGGGTCCATCTGCTGCATTGTTCCCGAAAGCTACTCAATCTGGGGTCTCTGGAGCGGGACTCTCCACCGGAAGCCAGCCTACCCGTGCCCAAGACACTGTCTAGGGGTGCCCTTGGGAGCCCTCGGGGAAAACTGCCTGCGTCCTCCCTGGGGGACCCGGCGAGCTGGCCGACTGTAGACGGGCAGGTAACAGCAGGCTCACGGGGGCCCCTTCCCCGGGCCCTGGCAGGGGAGAGCTGGGGACCTGGGACCTCCGTGAGTTGGGGAGGTGGCTGGTTAGGAGAGGGAGGGCAGGCCAGGGGAGAGAGGTAGCCACCAAAGCCTCAGGGGCCGCAGAGCAGAGGGCAGCTCCCAGGAGCCAGATACACATCCTGATACAGTCCCCCTCCTGCTCCATCCCTTCACCCTGCCCGGTCCCCGGGGTCCCTCCTGGCCTCGGCTGCGCCAGGGTAAAGTGTTTATATTTGTTTAAACAATTATTTAAGCTTATTTCATGTGTGTGTGTGTGTGTGTGTTTTAAGATTTTATTTATCCTTTTGTCAGAGAGAGAGAGAGGGAGGGAGCGAGCAGGGGGAGCGGCAGAGGGAGAAGGAGGAGCAGGCTCCTCCCTGAGCAGGGAGCCCCATGTGGAACTCAATCCCAGGACCCTGAGATCATGACCTGAGCCGAAGGCAGACGCTTAACAGACTGAGCCACCCAGGCGCCCCCATGTGCGTGTTTTCAACTTAGACGGATGGCAATGTGTTAAAAACCATGCTGATTCTTTATCTCCCGTGTTTGCCTTGAGGTGTGACTTAGACACAGCACGGAGCCCACATCTGAGGTGGACAGCTAGATAACGTGTATGTGCGTAGACGCCCCTGCAAACACCCGAGTTCGGAGCCCAGGCCCACACCCTTGTGCCCATTCAGTCGGTACAGCCCCCCCCCCCCCCCCCCCCCGGTCGCTCGCCAGCTCTGCCTGGTTCTGAGCTTCATGTGAAGGCACTCAAGCAATATGCCCTCTTCTGCATCCAGCCTTTTTTCACTTGGTAAGCTGTCCATGAGATTCATCCACGTGTTGCATGGAGCCATAGTTCTCTTACTGCTCGGCAGCCTTCCATGAGGGACTGCCCACTCTCCTGGGGGAGACCTGGGGGTTGTTTCCAGTTTGGGGTGATCAGCAGTAAAACCACTCTGATTGCTTTGTCTGTTTTTTGGTGGATATAAGCATGCTAATTGTATTTTTCTTTTACTTTTTATTGAAGTATAATTTATATCTAAGGAAGGCACAGGTCTCTACTGAAAGATATCTGTAAGATATTGGGGTTTTTAAATTTATTTTTTTTTATTTTTTTAAGATTTTATTTATTTATTTGACAGAGAGAGCGAGAGAGCGAGAGA